ATCTCTGCAGCTCTATACCTAAAGAAGTCTCTGACGACATCGTGCGAAGCGGAAGGATGTGCAAGGGGGTAGGTTGTTGTGAATGCATGGATAGCATCGGTGACGAGTGAGTGGGTGGCCCCAGCGCTGTTCGGGAGATGAAGAATGACGATGAAGTGGGAAGGGTAAAAGGACGGGAGAGGACGCACTCTAAATGCTCATTCATCGTTAACCAAAGCTGATGACAGGCGTAAAGTTTTTCCGCATCGGTTGCAAGGCGCTGGCGGCTACGCTGCGACATTTTGCCGAGCGCTGCGTTGTCGTTGATGAACCGTATGAGCCAGCTGAGTCTATCTTTTCGAGAGGTCAGTTGAGAGGTCAGGTCATGATTGGGTCGGATGATTTCTGTGTCTGTTCGTTTTATCCACAGGTGACACACCGACAGGAAGGAAAGCAAAGAAATCAACACGTAAAAAGTGAGGCGAGAACAAGATGAACGCACCGCTCTCTAGAACCGCCCTGCTTAGCCCCTCTGCGCCTGCCATGAGTCCCTCCTCATCGACCTCGGGAGGGAACGAGAAACGGAGAGGGTTGTCAGGATTGCTCCCGTAAAGTATGGCCTGCGTGAGGATTGCTTTGATGAGAGTCGCGCGACCAGTTCTGCGCGACGCAGATTAACTACAGGAAAACGGAGCAGATAAATAGAAATGTAACTTACGCCTCATTGAATGCCTTGACGCTCCCCAAATCCACTCGAACACGCATAAGTACGCCTGCTGTTAGTATGAGCACTTCCTCAGGTCCAGCTCCTTCCACATCCTCAGGGAAGTAGTACGCTGGAGGTTGAGATGGTGGAAGCACAGCGAGTCCGAGAATCTGATCGGTTTGCGGGGCTGTTAGGGTGATGCGGTCTTGGTAGAGAGAATCTGCGAAGGGTATGAAAATCATTCGCTGGGTTATAATGGGATGATACGAGAAAAAGGACGTACCCCGCGCACAGAACACCACCACATCCGCGAACCTGATCGCTACTACTGCACCTCCACCAAGGAGCACCAAACGAGGATGAGCGGGTGCCGATGCGGCTGTCTACACACCGGTGGTTTAGCTACGTCATGACGCATGTAGAGCGTACTCACCGTAGCATAAGGCACCCCCGTAACACCTTCTATTTTCATGCCACTACCCACGCCCTCAATCATGCCTCCATTTCCACTACCCTTAGCACTAAGTCTGACGAGCGCATATATCCTTCTCGGTACTGGGGCGCCCATGCCAAACCCTCCATACTGATCGAGTGCCATAGCAGCCGTCTCCTGCTCGGATCCGGCGTATGAGACGAGGACAACGAGGGTGCCCTCGCTAGCGTCGCGCAGGAAAATATCAGTTGCAATATCAACCAAACTGGTAAAGACGCACCTCTCCACGCCCAGATCAACCCCCTCCAAGTCTTCCACGTTCCCGACTGCCTCTCGCACATCTACCTCTCCTAATAACACCTCCTTATTTAAATTCCACCTCTGTACACGAGTCTCGCTGAGGGTCCATAGTTCCTTCTCTGCCACCCCACCCCTCCCTACTTCATCACCACCAGAACCAAGAGCCAGGGAGGAAATATTTCCTAACGTGGGCTGTGGAGTAGGTGCAGCCCAGAGGAAACGCGCAAGAGAGAGCCCGGGCGCGGGTGGCGGGGCAAAGAGGCGAGCTGAGAGCGTGTGCCGCCCGCTTTGAGACGTAAGCGTGAGTCTGAACAGACGCCCATGAGAGGTAGAGGTAATGTATACTTGACCCTGCGAATGTAAGATGCGTCAACGGACAAGACATTATAAATGTAAGGAAGGTATATACATCAATCCTGAGCAATCCAGATGTATATTCTCCCTCACCCAGCTCAAGACTGATACTCTCGAAGCTCCCACCGCCTGCTAGACCGCTGGCTATGCTGTCCCAGAAACGGATATCGCCACGGAGCGAGAGAAGGACGAGACCTGGTTCGGAGCGTGAGCGGGAGGGAACTAGAGCGTGTAGTGGTGAGGAGGCCGGCTGAGTGTAATCGTGAGAGGAAGGTGGACACGGGAGGATGTAGCATGTAGTGGGCTTGGTGTGATGCCAGACGAAACAAGTGCTCGAGGACGCGGCAAGGGCGTACCCCGTGAGTGCATCGATTGCACCGGTCCAAGATTGAGAATAGAAATCTGTACAGCACCAAAGTCGATTTCAAACACTTACAAGTTGAGCAGAATCGACGCACCAGCACCCTTCAACTCGCGCCTGACCTCAAACGGGAGTGCAGCATGAAAAGCAACGCTGATCTCGTCCGTGCGCGCGTACAACGTCTCTCTCCCTGAGCCTGACACGCGTTCATTGTACGTCTGCACGTCGTCGACGTCCATGGTGTCTGATACTGCGGCGATGTCCTCAGTACGCCTGGAGGGTGTGCCTGCAGCGCGTGCGCCAACCATGCGCCGCTGTCTGGGCGGCGTCACTGAGGGACGTGGCGTGCCATATCTGTGTGTTTTTCGTGGTGCAGGTGATGCCATCCTTGTACGAGTTGTGCAAGTCCGAGTTCCTCGATACAAGACCTTTTGTTTCCAATCACTGGTCTGACTTGCATGTATAGAGTCTGGACACAAACAAACATCAATACTTTCTCACCACACTCCACGACGAGCGGACAGTATGTTAGGCATCGAAGACTACGGGAGCGACGTCGAGAGTGACAACGAAGGTTCGTCTATTAAACAGCCGCTCCCACCAGCACCAGCTGCACCATCGAAAACCTCTGGTCTCTCCCTCCCTCCGCCCAGATCATCCGGTTCTTCAAGTCTGTCCCTTCCCCCACCCACCAGCACGAAAACGAAACGCCCAAAGAAAATTGAAATCTCCCTCCCCTCTCTCCCTTCTCATGACCCCGATACAGACGACCGACCACCCGCTAAGAAACCTCGCATCACGTCCAGCAAGGGAGCAGGGTCATCCTCCCTTTTAAACATGCTACCCGCGCCTACCCAACCTCTTCCCGTCAAAGCAAAGAATAAAGAGCCTGAACGCGTGCTTGGGGGTGGAGGTGGTCCAGGGTTGGTGTTCCATGCACCAGCGAGTGTGCAGGAGGACAGCGAAGAGGCGAATGGGGTATCGACGTCTTTCCTGCCACCTTCACTCAAGAAGGGCAAGTTTAACATTGCGCTTGACCGCGAGGACTCTAAGCCCCAGGTGCTGCCTAAGGTTTCTTCTGCGCCCGCTGTGGATTTCTTCTCTCTCAGTATGTTCCATATTCCTACTTCCCATTCATATCTCATGATTACTCCCTTCACAGGTACTCCATCATCATCTAGGACACCCACAGTGCCCTCTACATCTTCGACACCCGGTAACTCGACGCCACCCATCTCCTCCGCCCCCGACATCGGAACATTCACACCTCCGCTTCCAACGCCTACCGACGCCTACCCCGGATACTACCTCCTTCCTTCTGGCTCATGGGCTGCTTACGACCCGGTGTACTATGCCAAATTTGTCAAGAAATGGCAGAAGGAGTATGATAACCATGTACGCGCGCTCGAGAAAGGCGAGGTGGAGAGAGAGGCAGAAGAAGCGGAGGAAGTCAACATGGAGAAGGAGATGGAAAAAGCACGGAGGGAGGTGAAGGAGAGAGAGGACAGGAAGGCGCTTACAGGAATCAAGACTGGGGAGCAAGAGAAGCCAAGGATGAATGTACAGGTGCGTACTATTCCTGATGCTCGCTTTGTGGTGTACGAGTGATGCTCATGATCCTACTCTACAGGGCGCAAAACTAGGCTCAACGGCGCGGTCGCGACACCAACTGACGACGCTCCTCACAGATGCATACCACAACCGTGAGGCGTTGGAGGAGAAGATTGCACAAGCGCGAAGGAACAGGAAAGAAGCGGGGAACAAATATGGTATGTCTCGTCCATTTCCCTGTTTAGCTCCCTTTTATGATAAATTCACAAATCCCCGTCCTTAGGTTTCTAGTGTCATGGAAAAGTGTGCATTATGGTACGGTATACTGTTACTAAGGGTATGTATAATATCTACGAGATGAACTATGCTACATGTCTATGTCCATTGTAATATACCATGCTTGATGAACGGAAGTCTAACCCGACCCTCCTCACCCCACCCCTCCCCTACCATAGGCACCTCACTGCTTGCTGCTAGCTGAGAATTCTGCCAAAGTGTTATGTGGTTGACATGTCGCAAGTAAAGAACACTTACTCGTAACGCTCTTCGTTCCCTCACTAATGGCATGTTTCGCAAGCTCTCCAGGGAGAATGAGCCTCACTGCAGTTTGAATCTCACGGGAGGAAATGGTGGATTTCTTGCTATAAGATGCGAGTTCTACATATTCAGAGGTCACTGTGAGTGACTAAAATTAAGGGAAAGAGAACATAGCGTACTGCTTGCTTCTGTGGCAATCCTTTCGAATAGGTCATTCACGAACGAATTCAAAACTCCCATCGCCTTGGTAGATATCCCGGTGTCGGGATGGACTTGCCTAAGCACTGCGCGCAAATGAGAATACACGTTAGAGAACGAAGCAAGCGAACATAGAAGACATACCCTTATAAATATAACTGCTGTAGGTCTCCTTCCTGGCCTTCTTGCGCTTCTTCGCTGTCCCATCTGTGGTATCAGCTGTCTTCCTAGCTTGCGGCTTTGCCACTGTCGACACAGGTGCTTTAGAAGCTTTGGACATGGTTGAGTTTGGCTGTATGGAATGGGGAGCGTAAGCACTATGCTTTTCAAGTATCAGGCCACGAAACCTACCTTTGTGGAGACCATACTTGCAAGCTGGACGGAGTGCTTAGAAAAGAGAAAAAATGCGTAAATTCCCCTGCAACAACGCGTCGCGCCTTTTAACGCGTCCGAAGCGAGCGGAGTTTCAAGTACCGACGCGAAAGGTGCCACGTGCCTTCAAACTGGGGTATCAGTGCCGGGAGCAAAGCTGGACTCTCAAGATACTACTTAAGAAGCGCAGTGGACAATATATTACAGGCGCCCGCCTAGCTCAATCGGATAGAGCGTCAGACTTTTACGACCGTTCATTCGATTGGTGTAATCTGAAGGCTGCGAGTTCGACCCTCGCGGTGGGCTAGTGTTTGTTTTTGCTGAAATAGAAGTCCGAACTTTCGGTACATGAGGTGACACTTTTTCCAGCATCATGACTCTTACACTCTCGTCGGAAACGTTTACTTCCGTCGTGACCTACGGACCGAATTACACACCTCTCGTGCTGCTTTATTTTTGCTGATCCCTGGGCACAGCCTTGATCATGTCACGACAGACGAAACGTGTCGAGGCAGCTTGAATGAATCATCAGCTATTATCAGTGTGACAGGTCAATAAGCTGGTTCCAAGCACTAGAGCACAATGGGAGCGGCTTCCGAAGTCCAGAATCCAAAATATGGCGCCCCACGGACGGAACTGTCGCAAGGGTACCGTACCTGTTTGCATTGATACGAGCTCTGGTGCCAACGCAGTCGCAACTAGTATCCTGTAGGCCAACCTTAGACGAAGGAAGATAGTCGTTCCTTCCATACCAAGACGTCCTAACTACCGGGGAACTGTGGGATGTTTGATGATCAGCGGTGCTAACAGGGGCATTTCATTTGCATTATCATCTTTAGGTGACGGATCAAGGAATCGTTTCTTCCTTGCGGATGACGCACGGCAGAGCGTGACCTTAATCTTTGACAGAACGAAGTGACCTATATTTCATTTTCCCTGCTGCCAACAATGTCGTGGAACTTCAGAGATAAGAAGTGAACTGAGTGACCCATCTTCAGCGGACCAATTGTGCACTGAGAACCACGAAAAATAGAAAGACGTTGGGCAATTGCACATTAAAGCCGAGGAAAAGGGAAGAGCGTCTGCGATATATATCTATGAAACGCAGTAATGAAACGCACAGCCACGAACTTAGAAGAACCTATTGCTTATCCTCATCTATGCCACGCACTTCTTGTGCAGGTGGCGGGCGATTCACCCACCCTCCAACGATCCATGACCCTGCGAGTAAACCAATAAGAACCCAAACTCCTTTCCTTTCTTCGTCGGTGAGGGGCCTAGATTTTACATTGATATCTGGCCCTTTCTCCTTGGCAGCCTGAACTACGTTTGAGACTGACTGACCGACGCGGAAACTGCGTGGCAGCCCCAGGTCGTCCGCTAAGCCACGGAAGAAGCCATGTTCACCCGCGGGTTCGCTATGTACTTCAGACGTAGTCTGCTCAATATCCCCCACTTCATGCGGCTTTTCAAGGTTGTAGGTGGGTCCACCATCCGGATGTGTCGCGAACCCAGAAACGACGTGCAATTTTGGGTGAGATGGCTCTATGGGTTCGGGTTCGGGTTTCAGACTGGAGGAATCCCAGAAATCGGGAAGGAAGGGCTAAGGGGATAATGATCAGATGTGGTCACAATATCAGCGAAAACTTCGCATGTGACCCATGACTCGATGATCGATGTGGGATAAAACATTTAGACCCATGGATCGAAACGCCTCATTGATCAAGTCGATACGAGCACATAAGGAAAGGGGGAGATACTCACTGCCTGAACGGGTACGTCTGGCCCATCCTGGGATAGGTCAGGTAATTTTATCGAGAAAATGTCTGGCGTCGCCGAGGCACTGGGGCGCTGAGATGGAGGTGGTACGCCTGGGGATACTGCCGTGGCCGATGAGGACGCATTGCGTGATGCGGCGGGCGTCTCTAACGTCACAGACTGCGAAGGAGCCACTCTAGATTCTTCGTACTCCTGAATGCGGTTGATGAGGACAGATTTGTTTCCTTTGCTGATGGGACAATCAGTTCGGATTCCGATGAGAGCAGAATAACAGAATAAAGAAGCTCGTTGGAAGAGAGATAGTGTAGGAACCGAAAGTAGAACTCACGTCGAAAGACCTCTGTTTTTCGCCTCCTGGCGCAAAGCGACGACAGTCTCATATTCCCATGTTCGGGACAGAAGAACGGTAGAAACGAAATTCCTGTGCTTGGCTGTCAAGGAGTGTGATGCACGCGGTAGGTGGTGCCGGTGCAATACAACTCGGAACATGACTTGAAGATTGGTTTGACTGCAACTGCCAGCAAGACGAGAAATGCGGAGTCCGTTACTGTTGACCGTGCTGCCAGTCGCCACGTGCCACGCACTTGATCTGATGTTATCCAGCCACGCATGAAACTTATGAAATGATTATCGAATCTCTTAGGAATCGCCAGTTCGCTGTTGCCCGCGTCGGCGACGGGTCAAGGGTTGCCTGCTGTGGGCATTGATTATCAGCGAACCACTGTCAAAATGGGCTAAAGAAAGTTCTCGTGAGTTCAGCCGAGTCCCGGGTCCCAGTGTGATTGAGCGCTTGATGAGTGATCTATATTTTGCAAGCAATTGGCTCCTGCCTCGTGTTCCATCGCGTGTTCTCGACCTACTAACAAATCAAAAATCCTTTTTCAGTCTGGCATGACTCTTTCCCTCATACTCTAATCCCCAGTCCTCCGTTATTTCAGCTATGCTTCTCTCCCCAGCGTAAGAGAGGGTCACAGTTATACTATAAGTCAACCTTCAATGTTTTCCCGCAGATCAACCAGCGCCAGCCTCCCCTCTCAATCTTTTTGGGGGAAACTCCGGAAAAAAGGCGACAAGGAGAGTGAGTTCCGCGAGAGGCAAGCTCAAATGGCCCTCGCCCGGCAGCGCCTTCTCACTCTTGCCTACGAGGAGATGGAAACAGTAAGGGTGGTAAGCACATATCCCCTTTGCCCTAGTGCTTTCAATAAATTCTTTCTTCTTTCCGCCACAGCTGCCTAATAGTTTCCCGGTAAGTAGCGGCGTCCCATTTCTAACTTTGACTCATTTGTCCTTGCACAGGAACTAGAAGCAGTGGCCAGAGATTGGACAAAACCTCCCCCAGATGCCGTCTTCGGCTTGCGTGTTCCTGTCGAATTTGCGTCCCTTCATGCCTCTGTAAGTTGGCCCCATCGGGGTTGAATGCTATTTCTGACGTCATCGTTAGCGGCTGGTTTCCGGGCCATATATCTATGTGTGTAATCTCTGATCAGTGATATGGATGACTCATTGCAGATATGATTAGTTGACTGGCGAGGACTCGTACCAAATTGCGATAATGGGCGTGCAGGGGCTGCGGGTCGAGATTGTCAGTGACGCTCCACCGCCGCCCGACGAACCTCCGTAAGTTTGATCTTGTGATCGCAAACCAGTCTAAACTAATTTTATCACAGGCCACCACCGTAAGTGCGCTTTCGAGTTAGTCGTGCACTGCCTGAGATGTTTCCAGTCCGCCGCCGGTCACGGAGATGCCTGCCACGTTCAACCTCGAGCTAGTCCCCGGACAACATATTGCCCTAGAGACAACAGTTACTTCTGCTGAGGACGTTGACATGGCTCGCATGGAAGACGGGACCGTTGTCGACGGGCAGTTCTGGGGCAAGCTGAACATTGTGCACTCAGGCGACACCCACACCGTCGACTTCACCGGTACACGTATGGTTAACCCTGACATCTCACCCGACCTTCTTATCGATTCGCGGGTCATAACGAGACTCACGACCGCCACTAAAGCCGCTTCTGTTAAGTGCCATTTGAGCATCCTTGCGCCCGCTCAACAGTATTGCGATGTCATTCTTTCGATTAACCCGTTATGGAAGCTTGCACTCACATGGCCTCCTGCGGAGTCCATTAACGAGCACAAAGTCAAGTATTTTTTGCGTGTTCACCCTGGTGGTGCACTTGAACACTTCGAAAGCGAAATGGTCGCCACGTCATTATATTACGAAGCTATGTAGGTGCCATGCCTCTCATCTTCGTGTCATTAAACCTCATGGGTATACAGACCCGACCCAGCGATGGTCGATCCTAATGACTTTATTGCACCACGAAACGGCTACGCCATGACCTTTCAGGATTTTGTACCCCACCTTATGAGCGTTTTAGACCAGCTGGGCATGTCTATGCACGCACGAACTAACTTCATAAAGTTCGTCTTTTCAGTTCCGTGTTCTTGGTATGGTAACTAACACCCGCGTACAGCAACAACGTCTCTGCCTTTGCAGCCCACAAAAACATTGCCTATCGCTTCCTCTCACCCTCGAAGATAGCCGCAGCAATTGACATTTCAGTTACCGCCGATCCCTGCATCTTCACGCGTCTATTCCTCATCTTCCGCGGGCTCTCGGATGATGACGTGGGAATGTTCGCGGGCGCAGGTGAGAAGGAGGCGAATTCAGTCAACTGGAGGGAGATTGTTGGGTGGAGCGAGAATTCCAAGGACACGACCCAATTTAGGCTCCTCGAAACTTCCGTGTTGGAGGTTACTTAAAAGGAGAGGCTACCTTTTGAGCCGAGGTGGGCAGCTGGTCTTCTCGCCTTCAGATGCGTTACCCCTTCCACCACCGTCGGTACCTGTCACCGACTATCATAGTTCCATTTCTCTCTGCTTTGCGATATCCCGCTTTATTGGTCCTGTCTCTGCATTTGATATCTTAGGACACTGTCGGGCTTTATCATTGCTGTCATGCACTTATACTTTCCTGTCACGTTTGCAGCTGTCATATCTATTCGATATCTGCTTTCTACACAACTTATATTTCCCCTGGTCTTACTTCATATCACACTGGCTGTCTAGCATGTTTCTTCTAGTGTTTCTATTCATGATCATGTTGTATTGCAGTTCCTTGGAGACTAAAATATATTACGACGTACGAGAGCAATGGAAAGGGTTCGGTTGACAGGAACGAGTAAGGTAGGCTGCAGTCATACCTTGCTTGATCGCATGATCAAACTGACAAATGTGCCAGAACAACGTCACGTTGGACGTGACAATAAGCGCGTGACCGTGATGTCACGCGACGCGTTTTTAGCATGTCTCACATTAGATTGCACTACGTTTACTTACCTGCACCATGTCCGAGTTATCATCGTAGTACGTCCAGTCTAACTCCCGCGCACACTACCATGCTAAGGATCAAACTACAGCGAACGCGAGCGTGAAGTCAACATCGCACGCAACCGCGCGCTCCTGGACCAGCTTGATCTAAAGGATGCCGTCACTCAACTCGGGGTTCCGCCCAAACTCAAGCCTA